TGTATACATATTTTACAAATTAAATAGAGTAAACAATAAAATAAAATATACAGAGGTTTGTAGTTGGATATTGTGCAAAACAGTGGCATTAATGTACAGTACGTAATGCATAATGTTGAAGTTCCAGTAGTGAAGGTGAGGTGTCTATGAAGTGTTCAGCAGTCTGATGGCCTGGTGGAAAAAGCTGTCTCTCAGTCTGCTGGTATGGGACCGGATGCTGCAGAACCTCCTTCCTGATGGAAGTAGTCTGAACAGTTTATGGCTGGGGTGACTGGAGTCCTTGATGATCCTCCCCGCTTTCCTCAGGCACCGCTTCTGTAGATGTCTTGGAGGGACGGAAGCTCACCTCCAATTGTGTGTGTGTGTTTATTTATTGTCATTGTTGTATTAAAAACTCTCACCCTGTTCATCTCAGCGCTGCTATCTCTTGCAGTACTGTGCAAAACTTTTGAGCCATCACTAGTTTCTTTATATTTTGCTAGGAAAATAGGTGCAAAGATAGTGCTGTGGTTTGGAATTCTACTCTGCAAACATGGAATTACAATATTTAAGGCAAAAACAGAGTTTGGACAATTTGTTTGGACAATTTAAAAAATCATGAAATACAATATTTGGTATGGCTTTTTGTTCTGTTCTCTGTTAAGATGATTCCTTCACTTCGTCAGTAATGTTGAGGGTTCTGGGGAGGCCAATCTATGGCTGATAGTGTTCCATTGTGTGTTTTTCGTTGCAGGTATGGATTTACTGCATTTGGCAGTGTGTTTGGGATCATTGTCAGGTTTGAAAACAAGGATGCTTTACAGATTTGTTTGCGTGGTGGAATAAGAGCTGATAATAGTTTTCTGCATACAGAATTCTGCCACTTTTGACAAGATCTCTAACACCACTCGCTGAAATTCAGCACCAAACCATGACAGAGCCTCTACCATGCTTCACAGATGGCTGTAGACACTCATTGCTTTGCCTCTCTCCTGTTTCCTTCCTTAAGAATGGCTTTGGCGAACAGTAGATGGGTCAGATAAAGGGCAAGATGCATCTTTCAGGTCCTGAGTCAGGTTTTGCTGGATTTTTTGCCCCCTATTTCCTGGAGTTTTACTGTCATGTCAATATATACAAGATTTCTACCTACTTGCTCTCTGAGAATCATGTTGTTGGAACAAAACTACAGTTTTATGCTTGTCAGAGCATGTTATCTTTTTCTTTCTTTCTTTCTTTCTTTGTAGATTCAACTTAAAAAGTACCTCAAGACACAATTTAAAACTGCTTATTTGCCAAGTTGTCATTAATAGACACAATGCTGGTCCATCCCTTAGGTGCCATTTTAAGCTTCTTTTTTTTTTAATTATTTGAATGACTCAGAGGTCAGAATTAAGTGCCGTTACAAACAAAAACATTCCTCTGAAAAAGGTTTGGTAGACAGGCTGGACTGAAAATGAGTGAACCAAATGGCCAATGTCCAAAGACAAACTTTGAAAGTTCACTGAATGTAAAAACTCCAAAACACGACACAGCCATCCATCTTCTTCTGCTTATGCGATTCTAGGTCATGGTTGGCTAGAGTCCAGCTGTCATCGGGTAAGGGGAGGGGGTCCAACCAGGACATGCCGAGAGACAGACAACAATCCACGCCTACACCAATTTAGGCTACATCCACACTAGCCCGGATAGATTTGAAAACGCGTCCACACTATCCTTTCCAGTGGTTTTCACAGAGTTGCACGTCCACATTGAAACGGACGAAAACGCTTACGTTCCAGTACTGCGCACGTGTGAAACGCAAAAAGATTCGACCTGCCTCATTTCTGTCTGCCGCTTATTTACTTTCCGGCTCTTCGAAAGTTTTTTTAAATGGACCAACAATGAGGTTGAGTTATTGCTGCGAGTAACACAAAAGTACAAAGTTGGAAAAGCGAGTGATCGTTAAAGAATTTGAAGAAAAGCTATCTGGAGCATGTACAGACTGATAGACTTGTCGTCAAGACCACCTAAACCAAGACCAAGACAATACCAAGACCAGAGGGTATCGAGACCAAGACAAGACCAAGACAGACCGAGTCAAGACCAAGACAAAGTCAAGACCAAGACAAAGTCGAGACGAGACCAAGACAAAAAAGTCTTTAAACTGCAGCCAGATGCTGCTTTGTTTGTTCACTCTCTTTGTTTTTCACATAATAATATTATCCAATATCCTCGCATGTGATTGGCCACAATATGGAGGGATTGGAGCATAGCTGAGCCACTGTGTGAGAGCTGAGCAGCGAAAGGAAATTAAGTGAAGAGCTGGCTCTTGTTCAATGGGAGTCGATTCTTCTGATTCACTACAAAGCATTCTCTAAGCACGGCTCTTAGAGCTGATGCTTTTGTGCATGACACATTATCGAACGTTACGTTGTACGTCATGGATACTGTTGACTCCAAATCTCCCGACGACTATGTCGATCTGAGACAGCAATACCCAGACAACGAGACCAAGACAAGACCAAGGGATCCCAGACCAAGACAAGACCAAGACCAAAGTCCGTCGAGACCAAGACAAGACCAAGACTGGACTCGAGACATCCAACTCTACAGACTGACATTAATCTTTAATAGGGCTGTCAAAATTGAGAGCAAACAATACAACTGCTGTATAATGCCTCCGTTTAATTGGTCACATGACTGCATCATATCACTAACATGCGTCATCGTTTTAGAAAGTCTCCATTTTTGCCGTCCACACTGCGACGTTAAAGTACCATTTTCAAATGCATAAGTTTTCGAGAGCGTTTTCAAAAAGCTGCGTTTTCCATCTGTGAAAACTAAATGGAGAGAAAACAATGTGTTTTCAAACGAAAACACATTAGTGTGGATGTAGCCTTAGAACTGCCAGTTAATCTAATATGCAAGTACATCCTCCATGCAACTACGCATGGCTGTCAACACACACTGTACATGTATAAATGCTGGCAGCCACACTGACCACTTCTTGTTCTGGCTACTCCCATTAGTGGTCACCACAGCTGATCGTCTGCCTCCATTTCACCCTGTCCTTTGCATCCTCTTCGGTCACACCAAACATAGATTCACCTCAGAACAATTTAAGCATGCTGAACTCCATGCAGACATCTACGTACCCTCCAGTTTGATTTAAGTCTGCACAGGCAGTACATTACAAGTACACCAAGTATGCATCAACAAAGAAGACAAGAAATAGTAAGTGCTCATCTGTGGCATCCACAAATATGAGCATCATAAGGATGATATAATCCTTGAATAGCCTCAAACTTTATTGCTGTCTGCAACTAGACTGCTATTTCACTTCAAGAGTTTTTTTGTTGTTTTTTTTTTACAATCCTTTAATTACCTCTGCTTTCGAGGAAGTGCTGAAAGCAAGTTGGCTTTATGATATATTTTATGAACGTCAATAAGGTTTAGCATTCAGATGTACTTTTATCTGTATAAACGTCTGTGTGTCCTCTGGTTAATTATTTATGACCACAGTCTGGATGTCCATTCTTTTCATAGGAGTACCAGCTGTGGCTCTGTTACCCCTCTTAGTCCACCACACAGCAGAGCTCCATTGTCCTGGTCCCAGTCATTAAGAGTAGACAGAATGGCTACTGACCCCCTGCTGTTTGGAGGACACACACCCATCACACAAGATGAAGCTGCTCCGCCACTACCACACTCTCCACAGGAGCAAAGGCTTTGACACTGGCACAGCTGATGAGAGTTTAAGCTTTAATGTGGAAGTCAAATACAGTATGCATTTGTGTTTTTGTAAAGTTTGCATATAATGAATATGCAAACTTTACAAATGACCATATGACAATATATAACCAAGGCACACCTGTATTCATGAAAGAGCCTCTATATCATCTGTAATGGCATTATTAACTGAGGTTAGTTTCCAAAGTGAATTTTCTTTTTTCGGTTAAGAGTTTTACTTTAGGTTTTATTCATTTCAGTGTTAAATGTGGTATTATTGTGTGGATGCCAGAGGCAAGACTAACAGTACTGTAAATATCAAAAGTCTCAATAAACACATTATTATTATTATTATCATTATTATTATTATTATTCCAAAAGTCTAGTTTTTATTTTTATTTTAGTTAACTAAAATGTTTAACTGATGATAATACACACAGAGAGATCACAACACTGGTTCATACCAGTTGGCTGCCTTTTTATGCTTGAATAATTCATAAGTTAGTGTTAACAAATAATAAAAACATTCCTCTTTAAATGATCAGGGCACTAAAAAGGTTGAAAAAGCAGCCAGAGACCTTCAGAAAACCTCCGGAACTATTGCTCAACAGCACTTCAAAACATTACAGGAAAGTCTGGTTCCCTGGAATTAAAGCTCGAAGAATTACTGTCGCCTAACCGGTTTCGGCTCGGCAAGGTTTCTTTATGATGGCGCCTCGACAATTTCAGCCTTTTAATAATGCAATAGCCTTTATAAAGCGCGCGCTAGGTGACGTCACTGTACAGGGCGTGGTCTGGGGAGGTGCCGCGACCGCGAGTGCAGTCTCAATTGAGACGGTTAAAAAATAGACCAGTCGCGATAAGCAGCAGCTCTCGGCTTTTAACGGAGGGAAAACACGGGGAGGTCCTCGGTAAACAGACGACGATTAACCACCGGGAACGGCACGTGATGGATTTATTTCACTATTTCGCCGCTGTCGGAGTGTCTCTAGGCTGACTGCCAAGCAAGTGAGTTCAACAGAGTTTATTTTTCCCCACCTGTCCGGAGTAACAGTCATATCGAGTAGCTGAACTAGATCCTCATAGTAAGTTAATCGACCCAGTAAGTTTCCAGGAAAGTCCGAGTTACTCGGGGAACAGGACTGTACATGTAAAGTGTTTGTTCCTTTTCAGGAAAACTCAAGAAAGAAACCAGAAACGCAGTAGGAAGAACAGACTATGACAAGACGTAGTGCCGTGGCATTTGTAAAGCAGTACTATCTTTAAAAATACAACATTATTCTACTTTAGGGCTAAATGACTAACCTTAATGAATTAATGGACTTACCCGTTTCGGGGTTAAATGCAGTAAATATTTAACCTGCCTATCAAATATAAAGATCTGTTTATGATTAACAATAACTTGAGCGAGACTGAAAGCACCTCGGGCTCTTGGAAGTGACTGAATCGGAAACTAAAGTAAGACATTTTTGTAGCTATTCTCAGTCAAAAAATGTCACATCGAATGCGTAGAGCAGGGATTTCAAAACATGTGGACAGGGGGGGCACTACCCAGTTCAGTTTAGGCTACTAAATAGGGTTAAAATCCATTTTTTCCATAAAATGCATTTTCATTCTTGGTGAGCTGTGCCAGCAGTCTTTGGGAGTGAAAGTGTCTGGGAAGTTAAAAAATATATATTTACAGCTTCCAGCATGTTGTTTGAACCTTAAAGATGGAAATGTTTGTCAATATTTATTTTATTAGCCATATATAGCCAAGTTTGAGCAGTAAAATCACTGCATAATAATCAACATAGAAAAAGTTCAATAATCTTTCTTGCTGACCAGCCTAAGATGCCCTGAAAATAAGTCGCATATGACTGTAAACACATTCTTCCCTTATTATAACTTCAAAATAGGAATGAATAAAAAATCCAAAAAAATGTGTTTAATTGTACTGCAATGCATTTCATTTAGGAACTGGAGTAAATAGGACCTAATTTGAGCCTTTAAGCCTATGATTGTGAAAATACGGAGATACACTGTTGAAATTTCACAAACATGTAGGTTATCATTAAGTGATTAAACAAGTGATCCACTTATGATCAACTAGGGCTGTATGTACCCTTGAGTTAAAAATGAGCTTGACCTCCCTGCTTTGGACAATCTGTAAAAGTAGCACAGAGGACAGTTAGTTTTAAACTTGGTGTTAATGTTAAACGTGGACAAACAAGTTCCCAATATAACTGTCTGTTCTTCCTTCTCTGTCTGTTCTCTGCCTTTTTTTTGCTGTGTATGCACTTCATGATCAAATTTCTGAATCACACGAGCAACATTTTCCAAGGGTTTTTCTGCACAGATGTGTGTGCGTCAGCCCTGTACCAGTGCTATGTTTAGACAGAAACATCCAAACCACACTTAGGATGAGCATTCCTTATCAGTCATGGTGAAGTTTCTAACTGGTCTGTTACGGAATTACGAATACAAAGCGGATAAAATGATTATAAAGGCGCCAAAAATAACAGTATTAGTTTTAACATGTTGCTAAAATTACATCTGTCCAGTCTATGATATTTATTTGAAATTGCTGTACTATAGATCAGGGGTGTAGCCCATACTGATTTGGATACAGTAAGAAAAATAAAAAGGGACTCAAAAGGTCAACAGAAACATGGTGCAGAAACCTGTCTAATCAATTCATTTTGGTAGAGCTGATATTTTCTCTTAGAAAATGTACATTTTTCTACGACAGTGTGCTGTACAATTGATCTAAATTCTGTATCAGCATTAAATGTAAACATAATCATTCACAGACATAAATGTGACAAGTGAAAAGCCAGCCAAAGAAAAATACAGAGAATCCCAGGTGTGTACAAAAACAGCCAAACTTTCCAATGTTATCAGTGTTTGTTATCTTGGCTTCATTGTCTGAAAATATATCTCTAAAAACATAGTCTGACAATTTCAGTTTATTATACAGTCATTCATCTTTAAGCTCCAAATAGACAGCACCCTGTTTTTGACACACACACACACCTGAGGGAGCAACCTGGCCAGTCAACCAGCAAATTTTACCCCCTTAGTGTCCCTTAGTGACTTTTCCAACTTTGGCCTGTGACAATAATGCTGTGTGAAATATGATTGATTAATGGTTTCGCGTAAACCTAGTTTAATCATTCATGAATGAGATACTATCGTAGCTAGCTGCACTGAGTAGAAGATGCTCTGTATCTCATTGTACAAGTGTATAGTGACAGTAAAAGGCGTTCTATACAAGTGACTGTCTATTAATTATTTACTAAATCGCAATAATTCCAAAAATGGACACAGTGTGACATCTTAAAGTTAAAAAGTTAATTAAAAAAAGGTCAATCAAATGGCCCATTGGCTGTGATGATCCGCTTGGTAAAGTAAATCCGTTGGGTATCTTTGTTGGCCTTCAGACAGCAATTCTGACAGCTATAACCAAACGCAGGGCTCGCAAAATCGCTAGCCCGACGTCCCGGAGCTAGCAATATCTCCGGTCGGGCGACCAAAATCTATCTCAGCCCCACCCGTTGGGTTATCATATAGCCCGAAAAAAAGTTCATAAAGATAAACAGAAATCATTTTTTTCTTAAATATATTTTTTGTACCTCTTCTAACCTAGTTTTTGCCTGCTGCAGAACATAATATGAATAACCGCAAAGACACATTCATGAATACGAATGACCGTTGTATCTGAGTGAGACTGTTTTTTGTTTGTGTTGCTAAGTCGGTCTTTAATACCATCACAGTACAGACCTGCATCACTAAGGGAGGAAAAGCTCTGCTAATATTTACTATTTATTAACACATTTTTTGTACAGCAGTGTTTCTCACACAGGCTTTATTTTGGAGGCCACTGAAGTGTATCTTAAAATTTATTTTAATTATTTCATTTGTTTCAGTGGAGAAAATTGCATTCAGTTGTACTGTGTGGAAGTCCTCATTCTCCCCATTCAAACAGCACCTCATCTTCTTTATGTTTTCCTACTTGTAGACTGATCAGGTTGCTATTTTTGGCAGCCCCCAGGCCTTCATCCAGTAGTTTTAAAAGGTCCTACTCCACCATTTTGGTAGAATATCGACTGCAGGCTTCTGTAACACTAAGGAGTTCAATACAGTGGAGCTGGAGACCATCCACGGGTGAAGAAGCCTAATAGACAGATAGCTAACTACTTAAGAAAGTGTGAGGGTACCTCCTTTAGTATATGTGTCCTCCGCAAGTAACAGCTTTCATTGTTTCTCTGTGGAGGGTGAGGAACTGTTACGGTTTCCTTTTAGGTGTTTGGGCTTCATCCCATGTGCACTATAGATAGCCACACATGACTATTGTTTACAGTTTTTTTGCACTGTTGTGAAATATAACAGAAGGTTGTTTTGAGTTTATTATAGTTTCTTCCAGTGGCTATTTGCATAAATGGCCAATTAAAAGGATACTTCTTTTCATGTCTACTCCGGAGCAGGAAGTGAACAAACTCAAGTGTCCTTTTAATTGCAGACTTGTGACCTTGACCCTAGATTATTGTGTCGCCTCATCTAATCCATACCACCCAAATTCTTCATTAATATTCAGACAGACAAATATACAGACATCATGGGTAGTAAGCAAATTAGTGGCTCAAGGAACATGGAAAGGAGTGAGGGTTATTTACTTTAGGCTTGATGTTACTTAAGGGTTTCTTCCTCATATACTACAGTGGAGAGAGATCACACAAGCACAG